GAGGCGCCCAAAGCGAAGCTCCACCCATGCAGGCAATCACCGTCGTGCTCATGGGGCGCGAGGAAAGGAAGCGTCTCCAGGATTTCCCATCCGAAATACAGGAAGTACGCGAGCGCCTTGCCTCGCCCACCCTCCCCAGCATTTACATGTGGGAAATCATTCTTGTCACCTTCACCTGGGATATTGCGACTGAAGCTGGGCGCGCGCTTGCTCGATGTGCTTGGACGCCACCAACTCGACGCCAGAGCAATCGACGCAGCGGAAGCCTACTGGAGAGAGGACAGCATCGAGCTCGCTTGCGCCAGGTTGGAGGGAATAGTCATGGAACACCGAGCCGAGACAGGATGGCCCACCCCCACGCCACGGCCAGGCGGGCACATTGACCACGCGCTACCAAAGCTGATGGTGCAAAAGCTTGACGCTCAAGGAAACCTGCAGCACTTAGTCTTCAAAGGAGACTCAGACAGAAGCCCCGAGGCCATTCCAGCTGCGTCCAGGATGGCAAGACTCAACAACAGACAACCGCGGGAGGAGCATATGTCAACGGGACAAGAAGGGGCAACAGAGGAGGACATTGGCGGGGTGAACCAGCGGCGAGACCCTGATCTAGCCGTCAAAATCTGAGTTCTGCTAGAACGCCTGCACATTGCCGAAAGACTTGACGAACACGGTGGATGGCGACAGGCACAGCCGCCACTGGACACCAGCTCTATCGACACAACCTAGGCGACTCGACTTCGGGAATGGCTACGGGTAGTGGCTTTCTGGGGCAATATGCCTATGTCTTAGAGCACACTTTCGAAACTCCCTCTGCCCCCTGCTAATGGCACGAAGGATCAACGCTGCCCCGTTCGCTGTCATATCTAAATGGCTCGTCCTGCGTGACGTCCACACGCCTCTGCAACTACAGCGACTCCTTGAGCTTGTCCCTGGGGCGCGGGCCGAGGAATTCCAGGCTTGCGACCCCTTCGCCTTGACTAGCTTAGCTCCCCTCTTCCTTCGCATGAGCTACGCGGCTGCCACAAGCGGCGAATCCGCCACCAGAGACGCCTTCGTGCTCAGGGAGGCACGCGCGGAACGTATACTACGGGCGACCGAGCCAGCGCGCCCCGCACGCGGTCCTACATCTCCGCAGAATGAAACTGGAGACACATTTGTGTGCGCTATCTGCTGGTCAGCCCTCGACGCCACCACGACTGCGATCATTCCGCGTTGTCGCCGATTCCACGCTGCCTGCCTGTCCGCGTGGAGACTACAACAACCGGGCGTCTTCAGCTTCGCTGACCCCGGGAAGGAACAAATCTTTCATCTGCGGTGCCCACACTGCAGAGAAGCCGACCTTGGGAACGTCGCCGCACAAGCACCGGGACCTCAAGGTACGCCACAGGGAACTGCACAGCGTAATGACGGCGCCCCAGAGATCCCCGTTCTCCAGGGGCGAGCCACCGCTGAAGAACTTGCGCAGGCCATCAACGACGTCGGACCAGAGTGCCTGCAGATACTTCGACTAGGTCAACGAAATGGAGCCAACTTGTTACAGTCAGCTTCCCTCAACATCCCGGACGAAGACATCCAAGCCCTCGGCGAAAGCGCACACATCAACCGCAACACAGACGCACAAGACAGGATGACACAAGACCAACCGTCGATGCGGAACAGACTGCGAGAAACACCCATTCTCACAAAGGAACGATGGGCGGCGCTAGTCGCCAGGCACCCGCCTGATTTTAACCGCGCTCAAGGGAGGCCGATTTTCCCGGCTGGACTTGCTAGGGAAGCTGTGAGGGAGTCCTTGGCAGATATGGCAGTCGCTCCGGAGTCCTTGCTTGGCGACATAGACGCCAACACAGCTGCCACCACTTTTGCCCTCCCGTCCGCACAGACCACGCAGCAAATCAGGCAAATGATCATAGAATCAGACCAACCCAACGGGCCAACGATCATCCTTACGAGCCTACGTGCTGCGCAAACTGGCACCATCTTCGAGACCATCATTGCCACCAATCGCAAGTGTACCGTTTTGGCCCTCACGATAGTGCCCCGCTTGCTCCAAATGTGGAGGCAGAGTGCGGCTTGTATTCCTTTGACAGGGGTGGTGAGGGGCGGGCCCTCATGGAGTCGGCATGGTTCCCGGTTGGCCGTCGGCCAGGTGGGGAAAGGGGGTGTATATCATGGAACAGTAATAAACCTTTCACGAAGGGGAACAGGTGCGTATGGATCACAACACACCTTAGACCACCTACGCCCGAAGGGGCTGGTGGGATGCTGAGCATTGGGTGGCCCGGGTCCTTCATATTCAACGCTGAGGACCGAGGACTGACAAACTACATGGGACTTAAGTGCCCTCCAAAACGTAATTGTGCCTCGCGGCGCGGTGGCGGACGTGACAGGGCCCTGGCAGGGAGGCGAGGACGCCAACACGGGCCCGCAGGCCTTGTGGCTCCTTCTCCCCCTCCAGCATCCCCCTCCACCACTCGCCCAACCCCCTCCCGTCGCCAACACACGCGGCCTCGTTCATGTCTGCGCCTCTGGTCGGGGAGGGAGAGGAGGTGGAGGGGGAGGAGGAGGAGGAGGAGGAGGAGGAGGAGGAGGAGGAGAAGGAGGAGGAGGAGGAGGAGGAGGAGGAGGAGGAGGGGAAGAGGAGGAGGGAGGAGGAGGAGGGGTTGAGGAGGAGGAAATGAGGAGGAGGAGGAGGAGGTGAGGAGGAGGAGGAGGAGGAGGACCCCCCTCCTCCCAGATCCCCCTCGGTGACCTCGGTGACCTGAGGCGCGCCTGGTCGCTCCACGAGCAATCGGCGCGCCACGACCGACAAGGGGAGGTTTTCACAGGCTGGGGCCAGTCGAGGAGGCGGAGGAAGGGGAAAGGAGGGGAGGGAGGAGAAGGAAAAAGGCTGGCCGAACTTGGCATCGGCAGCGACAGGATGAGTGCATAAGTTAGCCGGCTCTCGCGCTCCCCCCCGTTCCGAAGCATGTGATTTGATGTCATACGTGTGGTCGCTGCGGCGCTACCGCCTAACCCCACGTAGGGCCGTCCCGCGGGACGAACAGGCGCAATGTCCCCAGTCCAGTGTCTTCCCCCCCTCCCCCCCCAGTCCCCAGCCCGTGGGCGTTGGTGGCGCCGCGGCCCGATGCCCGCGAGCACCCACAGGGCCAGGGCCTGGCCTGCTGTGGAAATCTTGGATTCCCTCGGAACTGCTGCTCGCTCGGTTGCGCGAAGGGCACGCCCGAAGGTTTCCCGCAGTAAAGCAGACTCAGAACAGGGGACGGTTTCCCCCCATCCTCCCGCAACTCCTCCTCCGCCTCCTCCTCCGCCTCCTCCTCCTCCCCCGCTCCCCCGCCTCCTCCTCCTCCGCCTCCTCCTCCTCCCCCGCTCCCCCGCCGCCTCCTCCTCCGCCTCCTCCTCCTCCCAATCTTCCACGCCGCCTCCTCCTCCACCCCCTCCTCCCCCTCTCCCCCGCCGCTCCTCCGCCTCCTCCTCCTCCCCCTTTCCACCGCCCCCCCCCCCCCTCCACCCACCGCCCCTCCGACCCGCCAAGGCGCCGCCGCTGGGGAGGCCGCCGCCTGCGGCGCGCCTCGGCTCAGGCGCCCGCCGCGCTCCCGCCGCCGCGCTCCGCCCGCCGAGCTCGGGGGCAGCGTCGGGTGGGGGGCTGATGGGCCTCGGGGGGCGCACGGGCCCTTTGGGCAGGTGGATCTCTCAAGCTCTCCGCAGCCTTTGGCGGTGTGCGTTGAACGCAGCAGAGCCACAGGAAAACGTGGCTCTGCTGTGCTCCTGCTCGTCAACGTGCGTCACGCGTGCGGAGCTACACTGTCGGTGCCGCGCTTTCCTGTGGCTTTGCTGCGTTCCTGCTCGCAACGTGCACCGCCAGAGGCGACGGAGAGCTTGAGAGATCCACCTACCTATAATCCAGGGGGGCTCACTTCGACTCCTCCGACTTCGATCCGATCTCGACTCATTCCGACGCGACTCGGCTTACGCCGGGCCTGTCCCTCTGCAGAAGGAATATTCAACGAGAGTGATGTTTTGATTATTTTGGGGCATGTTTTGGAAATATGCTTGACTCCCTTTATTTTTCGTCCTAAGCCCACCTGCAGGAGGACACGCCCGACCTGAGACTCGGCACCAGATTCCGATTTGGGGTTGTTGGAGCCTGCGGGATGTCCGAGACGGCCCAGCACCGGCTCCGGCGAGCAGGAAGTGCGGGGGCAGGGTCGAGGCGCCAGGATCGGGAGGGCCTTTTGCCACCCTTTTCGGCCTCGGGGAGCCGTCTTCGGGCCCCGGGACCGCGAGAAACACATGGGGCCTTCCAAAAAGGGCGGCCTTGCCTTCCAGGATCGAGGGAGTTGCCGTCTCTTCGGCGGCGGAAGGCGGCGGAAGGTCGGCGCGCCAGTAAAACGAGGCTGCCTCCGCCGGCGGAAACCGGCGGAAGCTCGGCGGAAGGCGGCGGAAGTAAAACATGCGCTCCCAAGAGATGAAACCGTTTTGGGGGGCCAGGGCTTTCGGAACCGCCCAGATCCAGGGTGAGAAACTGCACCGAACGGACCCCGCGAGGGGGCCAATGCTGAAAGGCCTCATCGCCACTCCTCGCCGATGTTCTCGGGTCCCAGCCAGTTCGGACTCCCTGGCCGCCTCCAAGACAAGGCAGAGGGACGCATCGGCCCCCCTATCGCCCACGCATCCCCGATGAGGGCCCGGTGGCCTGCGGCCCAGGAGCGCGCGGATTCGCTATCGGGGGCCGATCGCCGATCTGCAGTCGGACGGAAGTAGAAGGTCGAGGCCGGTTCGGGGAGGGTGCCCTCGTGTTCTTTCTGTGCTTGTGGGGTGTTCTCGTGCATCCTGGGCAGGGTAGCCCCTAGACGTTGTCTGTGTTTTGCGCGTCGGACGGTCTCACGTTCTGAAGGAATGTTCTTCTGGCCTAGGTATTGTATCGCCGATGCAAGCTCGATGCTTCGCCCCCCCCCCCCCCCCTCTGAGCTGGTCCCCCCCTGACGCTACCCTTCACGGGCGCGGCCGGCCGCGCTTGGCCGCGGGGATGGGTGGCGATCGCGGGGGCGAAGCAGGCGCGCGTCGTCGTCGTCGTCGTCGTCGTCGTCGTCGTCGTCGTCGTCGTCGTCGTCGTCGTCGTCGTCTTCGTCGTCGTCGTCGTCTTTTCTCCTCGTCCTCCTCTTGTCGACGTCGCCGTCGTCCTCTGCCTTCCCGGTCGTCCTCCTCGCCGCCTTCGTCCTCGGGAAGGGGGACGGCGGGGGAGAAGCAGGAGGAGGAGGAGGAACACGTGGTTGAGGGCGTGCCTAGCTGCCCAGAAGGTCAGGGAACCAGGTTGAGCCGACGACGTACAGTCCCAACTGACGACAAGTACGGGTAACCTCCCCAAGGGCACCCTTGTATCACCGCCTCTTCGGCCCATCCTTGACTTCGTTCGATGGCCCGCCGCACTCGAGAAAGCTCCACTGCGGGCGTCCAAGGGGCTTGCATCCGCATCGTACATCCTCACTACCACCCTTGACTGTAGCAATCCAGGCTGCGCGAGTTCCCGATGCGATGCTGGCTGATCCCTGCCTGACCCTGGGCCGTTCACCGAGCGCGTTCCACTACTCGCAAAGTGCCTACTCGCAAACGTCCGAGAAACACACATGTCTGCTTTGATGTATTACGGGTCCTTGGCTGCTGGCCGTCTGGCCACCAGCCCGTCGGCCGAGGCCTCCTGCCGCCGCCTGCCCAGCGGGCGCGACTCCAGCTTTCTGAGAAACCTCGACCGCTGCTTTCGGGCCCTGGTGATGACGGGGGTGGGGTGGGGCCCATCTCGGTCAGGCTTGTCAAAGTGAAGGCCCACCCCACTCCGGAGCAGCGTGCTGTTCTTCGCCTCGTGGGCGAGGAAGGTAGTTGACTTGCCAGTGGCGTGTAGATAGCAGTGTGCGGGGTCGTTTCAAGACTTGTTGCATGCTCGTTCGGGCCCAGGCCTCCCAGATGGGGTCCGAGAAGACAGAGTCGTAGGATCGCGCCGCATCGCCGATGCACCGGCGATGCAACGCCGATGCATCGGCATTGCGGAGCGCGATCCTCCGACCACCAGCTGCTCGGACCCCATCTGGGAGGCCTCCCTATGGGGCCGCCAGAGGACGGTGGGATCAAGAGCTGCTCTGGGGGAGTGGATCGAGGATCTCGCGGGGGCCACGGGATGAGAAAAGCACGCGTCGTCGGAAGTCGGCACAGCACCCCCGGGCCAGCGCAGCGCCCACGGGTGGGCAAAGAAGGAGGAGCGCCGGGCCCACCTTCCGTTCCAGAGGCGCCCCCGGAGCTCCGCCAGGGCCCGTCCCTGCCAGCTTTCCCAGCCGCGCCCAGCCGCGGCGGCGAGGACCTCCCAGACGTGAAGATGTCGTCGCCGCCCAGGCTCAGGAGGAAAAGAAACACACAGACACAATGAATCCTCGATTCCCTAGAAAATATGGGAAAATATCGGAAGTGGGGGGGAAGACAGAAACCCAGAAAATATGCGAAAATATGGGGAACATGTTTGTTTGTGTGTATCTATGTGTGTGTCCTGGGGCCCCTTTACAGGCGGCCTGCCCGTCGGGAGCAGCGGGCCGTCCCTGCGCCAGCGCCACCCGGGCTGCGTGCCCGTCGTGTGCCTCGGGGAGGGCGGGGCGCCGCCGGGCGCCGGCGGGCGCCCGCTGCTGAAGCTGGTGGTCCCGGATCGGTACACGGTCTCGCAGCTGAAGCGGGAGATCGAGCGGCGCGCGCCGGGGGCCCCGGTGGCCCTCGTGAGTCGGAAGCCGGGCGAGGGCTGCTAAATCCGTGGCTGCTAAAATCGATCTCCGGGAAGTTGTCTTCGTCCTTCCGGGACGAAGTCCGTTGACTGTTTCGCGTGCCGCGCCTCATTCGGGGAAGTTGTTTTTTCCTTCCGGGAGGGCCGTTTTAGCTGCCACGGTTTTAGCAGCTCTCGCCCAGCTTCCCAGTGAGAGAGCAGGGAGGGACGCGAGCAGAGTAAGTCGGGCATGCTCCTCTGCAGGAGGGGAGCTTCAGAGATATAAGTCGGGTCATGGTCTGAGAGGGGGCGAGGGTGTCCGAGCACTTTTATGACGATGCCTGAGAGTTTCTTGGCGATCTTCGAGGTTTGGGTCCAAATCCGCCTGCGGGAAGACATGCCCGACCCAACACGGTCTCGCAGCTGAAGCGGGAGATCGAGCGGCGCGCGCCGGGGGCCCCGGTGGCCCTCGTGAGGAGGAGGAGGAGGAGGAGGAGGAGGAGGAGGAGGAGGAGGAGGAGGAGGAGGAGGAGGAGGAGGAGGAGGAGGGAGGAGGAGGAGAGGGGGGGGGGGGGGGGGGGGGGGAGGAGGAGGAGGAGGAGGAGAGGAGGAGGAGGAGGAGGGGGGAGACGGAGGAGGAGACGTGCCCGACCCAACACAAAGCATGCTGTCAGGAGCTCTGGGACGGCGCGTCGCGCCGGCGGCTCTCCGGCCCACCGCGCTCTTCGGCGCGGCGCGCCGTCCACCTCGAGAAGGAGGAGGAGGAGCAGGGAGGAGGAGGAGGAGGAGGAGGAGGAGGAGGAGGAGGAGGAATAATCATAATAATAAGAAGAATAATACGAAGAAGCAGAATACTAATAATTTGAGTAAGAATACGAATAATAATAACAGTCTCGGGACGGACCAAAGGGGGGGATTGGGAAAGGGGGGGTTACGAAATCTGCTGCACGCAGCTGGTTTCGGCCCCGCCGAGGGGCCCATTTCTCGATGCATGGCCGCCTCTGGCGCCGGGAGGCGCCGGGAAAATCAGCTGCGTGAGCTGATTCTCAAACCCCCCCTGTACTATCCCCCCCTTTCGCCCGACCTGACAGTCCCCGAGCGTCATCGTCCCGAGCTTTGCCGAGCCTCCCGCCCCGCGGAGCGGAGCGACACGATGTCCGCGCGCATGGCATGGCGTGTCGCCGGGGCCGCCGTCGCGACACGCTATCCAAAAGATCCTGACCGACGGCTTTCGCGGGTCGGCGCGGAGATCTTGTGCCAGCGCTGGACATCCCTGCCCCGCTCCCCTGGCGATGTCTCTGGCGCAGCCCCCTGGGCGCGCTCCGCGCGCTGGACAAGAGACGCACGGAGGGGATCCAGCGCCGACCACCCAAGATACCCGCGCGGACCCCCGAAAGTTGACACTTTGAGCGACGGAAGAAAACGGGGTCGTCTTCGCCGGCATGGGCGCGCGCTCCGCGCGCCAGGGAGGGGGGTCCAGCGCAGATCCAAGAAATCCGCACGGAGCGCCACAAGTTTATGTTTATGCCGTGTTTTCTTCTTCTAGGCATTGTTTTTGGGGGCGTATTTTTTCGTCGCGCGGTAGGTTTATTCGGCGAAATCGCGCAGGCGACGCCAGCGAAGTCGTTCAAGGTCGAAATCTGCGACGCGGAGGCACCGAGGGACACGGTGATTCCACTGGACTCGATGGAGTTCAATCTTGAACGATCGGGGCCGCGATCGATCTAAGGCTGAAGGATCGACGCGGCGTCGAAAACCGTTGCACGTGCCGACGCCGCGCGAACCTACCGCGAAACCTCGAGGTGGACATGCTCTGGATCGGCCGAGAGCTGGCCCAGGACCCCGGAGGCGCGCACGAGGGGCGTATGGGGAGGGGCATGGCCTTCTGTGCACGGCAGGAGGCTTCTCACCTCGGCTTGCGCTAAGCCTTCCGTGCGGCGTTCCAAAAATAGCCTCACACACCCCCCCTCCTCCTCCTCCTCCTCCTCCTCCTCCTCCTCCTCCTCCTCCTCCTCCTCCTCCTCCTCCTCCTCCTCCCCCTCCCTCCTCCTCCCCTTCCTCCTCTCCCGATTGCCATCGAGGATCGAAGGAGTTGCCAGCTCTGCCTCGGCGGCAGGCGCGGGCGGAAGGGCGGCGGACGGTCCGCGCAGGTAGAGCGAGGCCGCCTCCGCCGGCGGACGCTGGCGGAAGGTCGGCGGAAGGTCGGCGGAAGGCGGCGGAAGGTCGGCGGAAGGCGGCGGCGGCGGAAGGCGGCGGAAGGCGGCGGAAGTAGGCCTCGGCGGAAGGCGGCGGAAGGCGGCGGAAGGTCGGCGGAAGGCGGCGGAAGGCGGCGGAAGCGAGGCCGCCTCCGCCGGCGGAAGCTGGCGGAAGCCAGCGGAAGGCGGCGGAAGGCGGCGGAAGAAGGCGGCGCCTCCAGGAGATGACAACATTCTTGGGTTCAGGATTCTCTCAATCCGCCACGTGAAGCTGTTCGTCTCGTGATGCTGATCTGTGTCTCTCGTAGAAGCCACGCTGATGCTTTGACGTACGTGTGGCTCTTCGTTTCTTGCGTCTGCCCTTCGCCTGCTTCCCATCGTGGTGATTCTCCCCCATCCGTCTTGTCCCCTTGTCCCCTTGCTTCAGAGTTCCCCTTGTTCCCCTCCTCCTGAAAACTCCTCCTCCTCCTCCTCCTTCTCCTCCTCCTCCTCCTCCTCCGCCGCCTCCGCCTCCTCCTCCTCCACCTCCTCCACCTCCTCTTCCTCCTCCTCCTCCTGATCCTCCTCCTCCTCGTCCTCCTCCTCCTCCTCCGCCGCCTCCGCCTCCTCCTCCTCCTCCTCCTCATGATCCTCCTCCTCTCTCCTCCTCCTCCTCCTCCTCCTCCTCCTCCTCCTCCTCCTCCTCTCATCATCATCCCCTCCTACTCCTCCTCCTCCTCCTCCTCCTCCTCCTCCTCCTCCTCCTCCTCCTCCTCACCCACGCTCACGCTGCCCTGCCAGGGTTCCCACGTGTTTCAGAAGCGACCCCCCCCAGCGCCACGGCGCCATCACTCCCGTTCCTGTAGGGACCGCGCGCCCTTGCGCGCGTATATGCGGGCGTCCCGTCCCGCCTGTCCTTGTGCAGGCTTCTGGGACGACGTGTGATCTGCCTCGAGCCCCCCCAGACCCCCTCGCGTCGTGAACAAATCGCGACGGAAGGTTGTTCGCGATTTTCGGCTTCCGCGGGCCCTTCCTGGGCCCAGGGACCGTCATAAAGCGGCTCAGGATGAGAAACCGGTTCCGGGGAATGGATCGAGACTTTTGGGGGTCGACGTTCTGAAAAATCTTGGCGTCGGGGGTCTGGGCCCCCCGCGCGGAGGGCGAGGAGGGGTGGAAGGGGGCGGCTTCCTCAGGGGCGACGGGGGAGGATCGAGGAGGAGGATCGAGGATCGAGGATCGAGATGGGGGGATCGAGGATCGAGGAGGGAGGAATCGAGAGTCGAGGAGAATCGTGAGGGGGATTGAGGAGCAGAAGCCTTTCTGGAAACCCTCGCCCCGCTCCCTGCCCGTGGGCAAGAGCCCTATCCAATGGGAACGCGCCCCGCTAATCCAGCGCGCGAGGGCTTCCAGTTGGAGATGGTCATTGTGATCGGCTCAAAAGCGGATGCGTCCGGGCGAGTTTTCCACCCTGGATTCGGCCACGCGCAGAGGGGGGCAGGGGGAGGGGGAAAGGCTTCTTCGAAGCACCCTGCTTCTCAGAATGCGCGGGCCTTGTCTGCAGATGTAAGGCCCGCGCCTTCTAAGTAGCAGCTTCCTTCTAAGAAGCCTTCCCCCCCTCCCCTACCCCCCTCTGCGTGCCGCCAATCGACTCGGGTTTGACGGCCCTGTGTCCCGAAGTCGGCCTCCGGGCGCCGAGAGCAGCGAACGAAACGGCACCCCATCTTGCGCAACACCCCGCAGTTGTGGATGAGAGTGGGGGGGGGCGGGCGCGGGGGGGGGGGGGGGCGCGGGGGGGGGTCGCGGGGGGGTGCGGGGTGCGTCGCGGGGTGGGTCGCGGGGGGTTCGCGGGAGAGGACGACAACAACAGTAATCATTTCAAGACTGTTCGATCTTACAAGCTCGCCTGCGATTCAACACGTGCATCCCGAACCCTCGATACGCGCCCTCTTCGTCCTCGACCGTACCCTTTGGGGGTATATCTTTCTTACCTGCAACGTGTATTTCGCGCAGCCCCTGAAGCAGGGGAAGAGAGGAAGGATGGAGGAATGACATGGGGGAGGGAGGAGGATGGAACACGGGCTAAGAGCAGAAAACACGCGGCAGAACCAGACGGGCAGATCGGGCGGGTAGACCCTACCAGGCGGGTCGGGAAGGAGGGCCCAGGCTGCCAGGTCTAGCAGGCGGGTTGCTGAAGCGTTCGTCCTGCATGAATCTCAAGGAAGTCTCGAGCGACAGCTCCATCCCCAAATCAATCGTGAGGAAATCCACAGCGAGAGCGTGACTCTTGAATGTCGAGGGCGCGGCGTTTGAATAAATTGGAAGGAATTTCCAAGCGAGAGCGCGATTCCTGAATACATGGTGAGGAAGTCCTGCGCGAGAGCGCGATTCGGAAATTAATTGTGAGGAAGTATCATGCGGAAACCGTTGTTGTTGTTGTTGTTGTTGTTGTTGTTGTTGTTGTTGTTGTTGTTGTTGCTGTTGTTGTAAACTGGGGGCCAACAACACAGTTTGACCTTCAAGACTTTCCTTGATAAAAAACAGGGTGCGAGCCCCGGGAGGGGCATTTCAATCAAAACATACTATATGCACCGGGCGGGGAGGATCAACAATAATTATTCTTCAGTAGTGAGAGTTCAACAACAACAGCAACAACCATCACTTTAATACTGTTCGCTCTTATCTGCTCGAGTGTCCGTTTACGCGTATTTCCCAACCCCTCGATACCCGCCTTTTTCGTCTTCGATCGTACCCCTTTTGGGGGGTATACCTTTCTTCTCTGCAGGCCGGGCCCCGGCAAGCGGCGGGGCGGCCGCGGACCGTCGGCCTGGCTAGCGGCAGCGCTGATCGGCGGCAGCTCGACCCCAAGAGGGACGGACAGGGGACCGATCACGACGACGACGACGACGTCGACGACGACGGCGGCGACGACGACGACGAGCGAAAGCGAGAGCGAGAGAGAGAACGACAGCAGGGCCACGAAGGGCACGACGTAGGCCACGAAGGGCGACAGCGGGGACACGAAGAGCACGGACGTGGGGCCACGACGGGCGCGAACGAGCGGGGGCCACGAGCGGGGGCCACAGAAGGCAACGACGGGCCCCAAGTCGGCCCAGAAAGGCCCCCAAGACGGCTCCCGACGGCGTCAGACGTGCCACGAACCCACCAAGATGGCCGAAGTTGGCTCGAAGCTGGCCCAAGACGGCCCAGGAGGCCCCCAAGAGGGCCTCCAGGAAGGCCTCGGGGAGAAGAGGGCGAGGAGGGAGGAAGCAGAGGAGGAGGAGGAGGAGGAGGAGGAGGAGGAGGAGGAGGAAAAGGAGGAGGAGGAGGAGGAGGAAAAGGAGAAGGAGGAGGAGGAGGAGGAGGAGGAGGAGGAGGAGGGGGGAAGAGGGGGGGAAGAGGAGAAATGCGGGAAAGAACGACGAGGACGACGAGCACGTCGGGGTCGCCGCCGCGAGTTCCCGGGCCGCCCTTGGCGCGCAGCGCACCAGGGATGCGCTGGCGCAAACCTCCAACAGCGCACGCTGCATTGTTGAGGATCAGCACTGGGGACCAGGGCAGCCCCAGCGCCTCTGGGAGTCTTGAGTAAAATCGCAGGAAGTATCGAGCGGCAGCATCGTTGTTGTTTTCAGGGGGGGCCCGTCTGCGGCGCCGAAACGGGAGCGTTGGTCCTGAGTGAAGGGCAGGGACGTATCGAGTGGAAGCGCCGCTTTGTTGGAAAGCCGGCTTTCGGCGGCGAGCAAGAGCCCCGGCCCCGAGCAGACAAGGAGGAAGTATCGAGCGGGAACGTTGTTGTTGCTGGGGGGGGGCGCTGCGGCGGTCCCCCGAAACGCCCGAGCGTGATCTTAATTCTCAGAGGAAACGCGGCCGGCACCGAGGCGAAAGCGGCAGGGCGGATGAAGGGCGCCCAACTAGAACGATTGCTTACTCATTCATAGTCAACCACATCCAACATTCTAAGGCTGCTCATTTTGTACATGTTCGCGTGTCAACCAAAATGTATATCACAAGCCCTCGATTCCCGCCCGAGTTGCCTTCGATCGTACCCCCCGTAGGGGGCATACCTTGCTTACCTGCCACGCGTAGTTGGCGCAGCCCCTAAAACAGAGGGGGGGGAGTAGGGAAGCGAAAACAGGGAGAGGGAAGGATGGAACACGACAAAGATTATGAGTAGGGGGGTTCGGAGCAGATGAACAAATGGCAGTGCCAGACGGGCGGGTCGGGCAGGGCGTACCGGGCGGGTGGGTCCAGACAGCTCGGTCGAGCGGGCGGGTCGCTGAAACAGCCCTGCACGAGTCGCGAGGAAGTCTCGCCGAGACCGAGATTCCCACAAAAATCGCGAGGCGGTCCAAAGCGCGCGTCGTTCTTGACTGATGGGGGCCTGGCGTTTGAACAAATTGGGGAAAGAGAAGTACCATGGAAGAGCACGATTTCTGGATACATTGTGAAAAGTCCCGCGCGAGAGCGCGATTTTGAATAACATGTGTGAACGCATCATGCGGGAACCAATGTTGTGACAAGCCGTGGGCCCACTACGCATTCTGAGCCCCAAAATGTGTTCGGAATACCAAACAGTGCAAGCCCCGGGAGGTGTATTCCAAATTAAAAATGGACATATCGGTGGGATAATCAACAATCTTTGTTGTGGGGCAAAATTACACTCAGCAGCAGCAGTCG